AGGCATAATAATAATCATGCAAAGTGGAAAACCAAGTAGGAGACATGAGCAGATTTCATTACTTTCACCTGTGGCTTTTTCATAGGTGACACACATGGTGCTGAGATCGGAGGACCAGCTCTCTGCACAGCTCAGTGTTCTTCTAAGTTGGCAGCCATTAGAAGTTAAAAGCACCAAGGCTATTTCCAATTTATAGTACATTTGCTTCCTCTGGAAATGTGTAAAAATACTAGCAAACACTAATGTGCCATTGTTTCTACGATGCTATAAATTCATGAGTGTAATACATTTTACATTCTGTTACATAATTTATTCAAAATGACAGTATTCCAGGTTGGAGATCTAAGATGGCAGCGTAGGTAAACATCCAAATTGCTGCCGGGCACAACAATTACAAAACTACAACTAAAAGACAAAACGTCTATCACCCTGAACCACTTGCTGAGAGGAAGCTCTACAACTAGACTGAAAGAGAAAAGAGCATCAGGGCACAAGTGCTGGAAAACTGAGGTATGGGTGTATGCATGCAATACGGGCTGGCAGCGGATCCCAGCTGGAGGTGGGCATTGCTTTCTTCAACCTAAAGAGAGACAAGCTCCCAATCTCTCTGAAATCCAGTTTCTGGGGAGAAGCTAGACTATCTGCCATTGGGTGGGAATGTGAGGGTGGCTTGCTTGCAAAGCTGCGCACAAGAACAATTGTTTGCTGTGTGGGAGGCACAAGACGGGGGGGGGGGGACGACGAGGCATGGGGGGAGAAGAGACGGGTGTTGGCCACACCCTAGCCTAGTGATGCCCTGAGACTGCACAATCTCCAAACACACTCAAGCTCCAAGCAGCAGCTTTTGCATATGAATGGCCTTCTCTGGTGCAGTATAACCTAGCAAACTTGAAACCTGGTGCAGACAGCTCCAAGCCTTCAAGCTCTAAGCAGAGAGGAGAGAACTGTGGTTCTTGCTGTAGCTGCTGCAGGGTGGCCTCAGACAGTAGCTGAACTGCACCACACTGGAGATCCAGAAGCCTATGTATCTAGTGGTCAGTGTGAGACACTAGATTTCAACTCCTCACACCCATAAGTGACACATTCAGGAGGCAGACTCAGTGAGCACCGAAGCCCCACTGAAACAAGGCCTTCACCATAACCAAATCTCCAGCGCAGCAGTTCTTCCTTTATAAACACAGCCAATTGGCCTGGAGGTAAATTCCTCCCAGTGTACCAACTGTGATTAAGGCTTAATTACACCAAGACTTTGCACTCAGCCCATGAAGGAGTGTACCAAGAGCGACCACCTCGGGTGATTGGGGAAGCTGAGCTATTGACCCTATAGGTCACCAATCTCACAAAGCCACTCCATTAACACATGGAGGCAGCCAAAATGAGGAGACACAGAAGCAGTCATGAATGGGAGAGATGGAGGAAAGAAAACTACTGGACGACACAGAGTTCAGAACCACATTTATAAGGTTACTCAAGAATCTTCTAAAAACCATTGAAAAACTTGATGAGACCTCCAAGAAGCTTAGTGAGACTTTCAAGGACCTTAATGAGAATGCAAAAAAAAAAAAAAAAAAAAAAAAAAAGAAAGAAAGAAAGAAAGAAAGAAAGAAAGAAAAGGACCAGTCATAAATTAAGCATATATTGTCTGAAATAAAGAATATACAGAAATTCAACTGTAGATCAACATACCCCAAGAGTCAAACCAAAGATCTGGAATATGAGGAAGCAAAAAAACACCCAACCAGATAGCCAGAAAGAAAGAAGAATTCAAAGTGTGAGCATAGTTTAAGAAGCCTCTAGGACAGCTTAAAGCGTACCAACATTCAGATTTTTGGGGTGCCAAAAGAAGAGAGAGAGAGCAGGATATTGAAGGCCTTTGGAAGAAATAATGACAGAAAACTTTACCTACCTGGTGAAAGAAATAGACTTACAAGTTCAGGAAGTGCACAGAATCCCAAACAAGAGGAATCCAAGAAGGACCACACCAAGACACGTCATAATTAAAATGCCAAGGGCAAAAGACAAAGAGAGAATCTTGAAAGCAGCAAGAGAAAAACAACTAGTTACCTACAAGGGAGTACCCATATGATTGTCAGCTGATTTCTCAACAGAAACTATGCAGGCCAGAAGGGAGTGGCAAGAAATATTCAAAGTGATGAACAGCAAGAACCTACAACCAAGATTACTCTGCCCAGCAAAGCTATCATTCAGAATTGAAGGGCAGATAAAGAGCTTCACAGATAAGAAGAAGCTAAAGGAGTTCATCACCACCATACCAGTATTATATGAAATGATGAAGGGTATTCTTTAAGAGGAAGAAGAAGAAAAAGGTAAAGATAAAAATTATGAACAAAACCAAAATTCTTGGGGGTGAGGGCATGTATGAGAGTGGGGTGGTGGGGGGCAACAATAAGATATGTACACATATAATACCTTAATAAAAAATGAAAAAAATGACAGTTTCCCATTATATGTGCTTCAAAGAAGAACAAGAATGTTATAAAATGTTAGTGGAAAATAAATGAGATTATATATATATATATATATATATATATATATATATATATATAGAATCATATCCCAAATTTTTATTTTCCAGTGATGAAAATATTGAACAGTCCATCCTTATTTTATATGGGCAGAGATACATTAATCAATTGCCTTGATTATATCTTCCTGTGAAAAGACATTTTGACAAAACATTATGGGGAACTTGTTTTTAAATTTTTGTTTAATCTTTAAAATAGAGATTTTAAAACATTGTTATCATTTTGACATTAAAAAACACAAGCTATGACCAAGAACAGTTTTAATCTTGCCTAATAAAGATATGATTGGAAATAGAAAAGTAACTTCCAGATCCTTGTTAGGTGTGTCTGTTTCACAGATCTCTCCCCAGATAGACACTGTAACAGCGGCAAAGAGCCACTAGATGGCTCTCTCATTTTTAAATAAAACTAAAGTCCGAAAAAGATAGCATATAGTTAAGGAACAAAATACTGTACAACACCTCTAGTAGGCAAAACCTTTAATCAAAGCAAGAAACAAAAATATGCAATTATGGCCTCTCAGGGTAATTTGGAGCTATTCAATTGAGAATTAGACTTAAAAATAACCCTGCAAGACTGCAAAGTATGTATGGGTAAGCAATTTGCTAAAAAATAAGGGAAGGTATATTCTTAAGGATGCTAATTACTAAAGGGAAGGTTGTTCCAAATTTTTCCTAATTTATTGCCATCTAGGTTCCCAGCTTTTGTTGTTGTCATTGTTAATCCTCACCTGAGGACATTTTTCTATTGATTTTGAGAGAGAGTGGAAGGGAAGGGGAGAGACAGGGAGAGGAAAACATCTATGTGTCTCATAGATTGGCAAGCCTGCCACCAAGGTACATGTTCTTGACTGGAATTGAACTCATGACCCTCTATCCAGCTTTTCTTTTGGACTTTCCCTATTTAGTTTAGACTGTTACCTTTAAGGAAAAAAGTTAAACTTGGGCATTATAATTCATTAAAAAATTACTTTCCAACCTCCTGGACTATCCTTGTCATCCTTATTAACATCCCAAGAGAATAATACAACAAAACAACTTCATTTAGGGCTATATGGGGGGGGGGGGGAAGCATTTAGACCCTTAAATCAAAATACAATTAAGGCAAACACTATTCCACTCTATAGCATTTGTCAGGAGATTGAAGAAATAGTGTGCTTTAAGAGTTGGCAAATAATTCCTTTCTTGTTCCAGAAAAGATGGGAAAATAGTTACATTTGAGGTGTGATTTGGATCTCAGGTACCAAAATTTGCTAGTTAAGTAGTTCTAGATTTCATTTGCTCCCACCCCCCAAGTTATATGCAGAAGACCATAATTTCCCCCTAAGTACATAACTAATTTTCTCATGAAAATAAATGCAAGTTGGGAAGCGTGTGGGTTCAGGATTAAGTACTCTGAGCTGCCAGTCTGCAATTGGCAAGTAGGGGAAAAACGTTTTCCTCTTTCCTCTTCCTTAAATGAAAAGCTCAGACCTGTCACTTATTAAGAACATATTTAAGGAGAGTTTTAATTTGTAAAAACCCCCACAATTTTCTTATTGTTATTGGGAGCCAATAAATAATGATTGCATGGCATGTGGTGTCGCTGCAGGATTATACTGGTTTTGTTAGTTTTCCCAGGCAGAAACCGCATTTGAGAATTTACAGATGTAGTTTGTAAAAGTACGTTTTTATAAAAGTAACACGCAATTTGTGACCTCCTCTCCCCTGCCCTCCCCTTATCTCTCCTCCTCTCCTTTTCTTCTTTTTAAAGAGCGCTTCTTGCACACAGTATAAATTAAACTTGGCTTTAAAATGATAATTCCGAACCCACTTATTTAAATGTCTTTGAAACATTCATCCTTCTACTTTTGAAGACAAATCACACCAAAGGGATGAACACAGGGAACATAAAAATGAACAAATACTGCCCGAATGTGAACGAACAAATAGTTATATGAAATTAAAAACCGATTTCAGTCCCTCTGATCACAGAGGATGCCTGTTAATATAAACTACCCAGTATCCCAAAGAGTTGTAAATCACATCTATTATGCTTAGCTGGTAGCTGATCAGTGGAGACCAGACCTAAATCCTGTACCTCAATCACAAAAAGTGCAGATGCTGGAGTTAGAAAAAGGGAATTAGGCCGGTGGCCCGAGAGGCCATCCAAAGCTAACGCACGGACTTAGGAGAAGTATTTGTGCTCTTCGTTATCATCTCTTTAATATTCGTTATTTTATTTCATGCGCTAAGACTATATTAGCTAGGAAGGGGTCCTCTTCGCCTTACACCTGGAGTCGCCAGTCTCCCTGGCCTCCGGGCTCCGGGCCCGGCGAGGAGGGGCTGTAGGGCGGGGCGCCCCAGGGCGGCAGGTGGGGCGGGCCGGAGGGCGCCGCCGGGGCCCCCGCCCGGCCGCCGGGCCAGCGCAGGTATAAGAGGCGGCTCCGCTGCGCCCCCGCCCGCCCCGCCCGGAGCGCCGGTAGCCGATCGCGGGCCGTGCGCCGCAGGTCGCTCCAGAGGGATGCTCTTGCCCGAGCGGCGAGACCAGCCCCGCTCGCCCCCCGCAGCCGCCGCCCCGCAGCCGCCGGCGTCCGCCGACATGTCTCTCTACTGCGGCGACAACTTCGGCGGCGTGTACTCGCAGCCCGGCCTGGCCCCCGCCGCCGCCGCGGGCGCCCCCCCGGCCGCCAGGGCGCCCTACGGGCTGGCCGACTACGCCGCGCCCGCCGCCGCCAACCCGTACCTGTGGCTCAACGGCCCGAACGCGGGCGCCGCCCCGGGCGCCTCGGCAGCCGCCTACCTGGGCGCCCCGCCGCCGCCCCGGGGCGCCGCCGGGCCCTTCCTGCAGCCGCCGCCCGCCGCCGGCACCTTCGCCTGCGCCCAGCGGCCCCTGGCGCCCGCCGCGCCCGCCGCGCCCTCGGGGCCCGCGGCACCCTGCGACCTGGGCTGGCTGTCCGTGGCCAGCCGCGAGGACCTGATGAAGATGGTGCGGCCGCCCTACTCCTACTCGGCGCTCATCGCCATGGCCATTCAGAGCGCGCCCGAACGCAAGCTCACGCTCAGCCACATCTACCAGTTCGTGGCCGACAGCTTCCCCTTCTACCAGCGCAGCAAGGCGGGCTGGCAGAACTCCATTCGCCACAACCTGTCGCTCAACGACTGCTTCAAGAAGGTGCCCCGCGACGAGGATGACCCAGGTGAGGGCGGCTGGGCAGGTGCTTCCTCCCGGGCCTGAGCGCAGGGAAGCGGCGCGGACGGGGGTGGGGTGGGGGGGAGGTGTTCTCGGCGTGGCTGACTTTGGGTCCACGCGGAGTCTTCTGGTTCTAACTGCGGATGAGAGCCAGTGGAGGGATAACCACCCAAATCTCGTCTGATTGGGTTGAGGAGAACCCACAGGACAAGAAACGTATCAGAGGATCCTTGGAGCGGGGACCCCGGGAGGGAGAAGCTCGCCCCTCGCCCCCAACCCCCAGCCTCCACTCGGACGGCTGGCGGGTCTGAGCCCGTGCCGCCTGAGGGGAAGTAGACTGAGAGCCTGTGAGCTCTCTGATGAAGGGGACTATAGAGGGATTCGGATGAGCTGAGAATCCCATCACATTTCACAAAAGATGTGGTGAGAGCCTCTGGTGTCCTTCACAAAGCAGATCCTCTGCCTATCTCGAGAGGAGAAGTGGCACAGACACGAGACGCGGTAGAAGGATCCGAGAGCGTCAGCTGAGTCCTGCAAATTGTGGTTTTGGTACTTTAAGTATTTGAAAATGCAAAAGTTACCCCCCCCCCCCTCCCAATTTGCTTCTCTCTGATCTGAGCCCTGGGGTGTGGAGGGCTGGGGTACAGTGGAGTGCTGTAATTGTTTCCCTCTACCTGGGGAGAGGATGTGGGGAAAAGCTGAAAACAGAGGAACAGCATCCTACTTGAGGTTTTCAGATGGAGCCCAGGACAAGGGAGGTATGGGCAGAGTTGTGATAGAAAAAGAAAAGAAATAGAAACCATTTCGGTTGCACACTCCAGAGATTTAGAATTTTGTTTAAATTAGATAGTGGTTTCTAGTAGAAATACAGTATAAACCTCATGTGATTTTAAGTTTTCTATAGCCACATTAATAAAAAGAAACCGGTGAATTTCATCCCAATGTGTTTTTTATGTAAACCAAAATTTGTTTCAACCTGTAACAAGCACAAAGATTATTAGTGAGGTAGTTTACATTACTTTTGGTACCAAGTCTTCAGAACCCTGTGTGTCTACCCCACATCTCGCTTTGTATTAACCACTTTTCAGTGCCCACCAGCCACGTGGGGCTGGTGATCACTGCACTGGACCAGGCATGCAATTCTGGACGTGCATCTTCCAACTCCGCCCGTAAAGCACCTGAGATGGTCACATAAACTTTACATGCACTCCTCGGACTTTCCAAAAGTTCAAGGATCTGTAGAGTGTCTTGTCAAAGAACTTGGTACAAAGGTGGCACAATATAATTATCCTGATAGGTGAGGGCATTATTGAGATGGTAGTTATGAATACTTTTTTTTCTGAGACTTTGTGGAGAATGTGTCAGTGGAGAAAGTGGATGTGAGGAGTGTGTGTTAGTTTGTGGAGGTAGCATAATGGGCTAGTGAGGTATGCGGAGTCAAGAGCATTCCTGGCTCTACTGTTGTTAACTGGGAATACGGCAGGTTACTAACCAGTCTGCACTTCAGTTTCCCCATCTGAGAAATGGAAGCAATAAATTGCCTATCTCCATGGAGCTGTGAGGAGTAGGCTAGGCTGTCTGCGCAAGGCACTCAGTACAGGATAAGTGCTTAATAGTACTTTCAAACACTGGCAGTTGTTTTTGCCACAAGTGAAAAGAGCTTTTGAGAGATAAAATCCTCCAAGATGATTGTGTTAGATAAATTGCCAGTGAAATTTTCTAAGCAGGAGAATAGCGTTTTTCGGCATTAAATGGGACCCTGATCCCCGAGATTTGCCCAGGGGAGGGAAAACCTGGAAGAGATGCGGGGACACCTCCTGCTTAGGGTGAGGAATACAGAGACTCTAGGAGAGGCCTTCCCTTGTCCTCCAAACATCCATCCAAGAGGCTGAAACAAGTGTTTGCTCAGTACTGCCTGCTGTCTTTTTTGTCCAGCAAGGCATGGGATTGGGCATTTGAGATTGCCTTTTTCCAGTGGAGTATTTTTAGGGACAAGTGTTATATACTTTCAGCAAATAATAGTGATAGCAGACACTGTTTTGCACTGCTTACTGTGTGCTGCCAGTTACTGGCCAAAGATATCACTTAATCCTCACAACCAACCTATGAGGTGGGGCCAATTCCTAGCCCTACTAAATAGCACCAGGATTTTGTGAGGCCACTCCATAAGTGCCTCATGAATTGAATTAGGTTTTAAAATTTAAGTAGCAGACACTACCAGGAGAAGGTAAAAGCAGACAGAAAGAACCTTTGTTCCAGATTTCTCTTTAAAGGTAAGTAAAATCTCTTCCATAAGAATAACTCTAGACAGTATAGGCGACTGAGCATCTTCATCAGCGTTTTTATTTATTTATTTATTTATTTATTTATTTATTTATTTATTAAACACCAAGCAATTTTATTTTTTTAAAATTTGTACACATTTATATGGGGATATAGAAGAGAAAGTGAAAAGAAGCTATTCATTTTTTTTTTCATCAGCGTTTAATGAAAGTCTGCCCTCCTTCTCTAAAAATAGAAGCTGTATGAGCAGGCATAAACTAGCTCCTTCTCTAACACCTGTCTTTTTATCTCCACAGGAAAAGGTAATTACTGGACTCTGGATCCAAACTGTGAGAAAATGTTTGATAACGGGAACTTCCGCCGAAAGCGAAAGCGCCGCTCTGAGGCCAGCAGCAGCTCCACGGTGGCTGCAGGGACGTCAAAATCAGAAGAGGGTCTGTCCTCAGGATTAGGGGCTGGAGCGGGTGGGAAGCTGGAAGAAGACAGCCCCTCTGCTCTGCTAAGGCCTTCCCAGTCTCCAGAGCCTCCTGAGGGCACCAAGAGTGTCTCCTCCCCTGGAGGAGCTGGGCTCACCTCCACTCCTTGCCTCAGCACCTTCTTCAGCAGCCTCAGCACCTTAAGTGCCAGCAGCACTGGGAGTGCCCAGCGAGCTGTGGCCGGCAGCCACCCCCTAGGGATCCAGGGGGCCCACCTGCCCTCCAGCAGCACGTTTCCTGCCAGCTCCGTCTCGGAAGCCTCAGACAACCTGCAGCTGAGCACCAGCACCAGCAATGGCAGCAGCCAGAGATCTTCCTACTATAGCCCTTTCCCTGCCAGCACTGGTGCGGGGCAGAGCAGTCCCTTCAGCCCGCCTTTCTACAACTTCAGCATGGTCAACAGCCTCATCTACTCGAGGGAGGGCTCTGAGGTATAGACATGATGATGCACACCTGAGCTCTTGTTAAAATCCAGATTCCAAGGCAGCTGATCTGGAGCAGGTTCTGCGTTTCTCTGGAGCTCCTGGCTGATCTGGTCCATTAACCACATCTGGGAGTAGCCTGGGTGTATAAGACAACTCTTTCTACAACCCAGCATGCTTCTCCAGGTTGCTCAGGATAGGGCCTCTCTGGAGAGACAGCCATCCTACTCTGACCCAGGATGACAGTGAGCCCTGTGAGGACAAGGGACTACATCTGTTCTGTTCATTACTGTAGATCAGGGTCACAAGCTCAAATGTGTACATGGCTAGCTAAAAATAAAAAAAGTGAATGACGTTATTGGGGAGGAAAAAGATAGCAATTGGCATTGGAAGCATCAGGGAGTAGTTGGGACTGACCCACTGAAGGCTGCTGTGGACAGCTAATTCTTTCCTTCTGCCTGGCAGCATTCTGATTTTCCTAGAAAAGACACATCTGTATTTTATAGGAAACCTCCATTTAAATTCTTGGCCGCTAAAGTTTAAAAAAATACTGTACTGGGAAACCCCAATACCCATGAGCTCTATCCAGCTCATGAGTCCCCTTTACTCATGCTCAGCATCTGCACTCTGTTAACCCTCACAGCCTGGGAGACTGATGTTACTGCCTCATTTTCATATGAGGCTGTGAAGCACCAGGCTGTCAGGTGGCTCTCCAGGCAGCAGGGCAGGGTCAGGTCCAGGCAGTCTGGCTCAAAGGCTGGTGCTTATAGCTTTGTGTTTCTAGTTCTGAGGGCAGACAGTGCATAGAGAGTAGGAATGAGCTAGATCACTCTGGACCAAAGATTCCAGTTGAAAAAAATGTCACTTGAGATGTTCTCTTGAGCAGCACGGATGGACCCCCACCTCCCTGTTACTTCTGCCGCCGAATTCCTGAGGCCTGGGCTGACCATTGTCCTCGCAAACCTTTACATCCTGTTCCTTTTAGCATGTGTCCTGGGTTTTTCTTTAAACAAAGTATTAGAATTTTAATAAAAATAGCTTTTAAATTGAATTTTTATTTACCACAAATGTTTTTCCCAAAATATTTACCATTTGTGGTAAATTTTAAAAAAATATAATTTATTTTTAGCACTCCCTTTTACTTCCCAAGAGGTATTTTCATTTGAATAATTTGTATGGTTAGCCTCCCAGCACCCAGCAGAGAGCCTGGTGCCTGGCAGACACCCAGTCATTGCTTGAACTTGAACTTATCCAAAAAGTATTAGTTGATTTTATTGGAACAATGTTACATTAAGACGAAGATAATGTCTTATGAATTGCCTTAGTGCCATGTGGTTGGTTTGGGGTTTTAATTATTTTTTTTTAAAGGAATACTAGTACATTGTCAAAAAATTAGCTTTCCTCTGTGGATTCTTGAAACTCACAGCATTACTCTTAAATTTTTATTTTGAGATAACTTACAGAAAACTATTTTTAAAGTTATTGAGGTACAAGTAACGTCACCATTATTTAAATATTATGGACAGGCGTGCCTGGTTTTATTGCGCTTCACGGAGGTTACGGTTTTGGGTTTTGTTTTGTTTTTTTTGTTTTGTTTTTTTACAAATTGAAGGCAAGATCTCCCCTTTCCCCAGCAAAAAAGAGGACACTTGCTTTCTAGGAATGGTCTGGCACAGACACTGCAGTATCCAAGGCTTGCCTGCAGAAAGAACCAAAGAGACTGCCCTCCCACACTGCACAAAATCCAGTTTCAGGGGATATTATTTTATGTGAAAATCCTATGGACTTTTATAAATATTGTTTCTAACACAGTTCTATATTTGTAAAATAATTTATAATGTAAACTGAGACAAAAATTTTTCCTAGGAAAGTATACTCACTACGTGCTGAGAATCTCATGAAATAAACTAAGTGGGATGACTTCTGGCCATTTTTCAGCATTGCTATTTTTCTGTCTTCAGTTTCTTTCTCCTAAAAGAAAAGACTGGCATCTTTCCACCACCCCCATCTGAAAGGGCAGGGACGGAGCACCACTCTGGGGAGGGTCTTGAGCATTTTATTAGAGTCAGTTCTGTCATTTAAAGTGCAATTCAGTGCATGGGACAATTTCTGTTGCAGAAAGAAATGCACTGGAAAAGTTTCATCAGCTGACAGCAGTCCTTGGGTGCAGCCCCAAGTGTTCCAGTCCTTGGGATCACAGGCAGCCCAGCGTTTCCCAGGAAACTTGAGAACGGCTTTGTTTGGAAAAAACCTGAAATTGGCTTCTGGGCTAGGGTTTCTCAGCACCAGCATTGCTGATGTTTGGGGCTAAGTAATTTTGTTGTGGAGGCTGCCCTTTACACCACAGGTTTCTGCAGTATCCCTGGTCCCTACCCATTAGACTCCCCCACCTCAGCCCCTTCCCGCCCTGGCCATGAGTGACAACCAAGAGTATCTCCAGACATTGTCAATGTACTCCGGGGCACAGAATGAACCCTCGTTGAGAACCACTGATGTAGGGCAACAACCACAGTTTGTCAAGGAGGAAAGGAAGCCCCCTCAGCCTCCAACAGGAAGTCCTAAGTCTTGGGGCTAGCAGTCGAGCCCTGAATGAGTTAGACCTCGGCCTGTGCAGGTAGTTTGTCCTGAGATGCTTTTTCTCCTAAGGAGAGTAAATTGTGAGCCGGTGTAACCCAGTAACAGGCATTTCTCAAAGCCTGGGGCCTATGGTTTGCCCAGTCACATTGGAGGCTCCTTCAATATTTTAGTTTTTGTTTATAGATTTCTTATGGTAGCTTCCTTCTTGGCATCTAATTATTTTATTAGAGATCTAGGCTGGGGATAATTTTAATTGAACAGTAGTAAATGATCTGGGTTATTTGAAGGGGGCGGGGAGGGAGGGATGAAACAGGCATAAGGAGGACATGCTAAAAGAACATGATTAACCTGTATTTGGAAGTATCTAGATCTGGGTGGTTGATGGCTATTAAATGCCAGAACATTGGTATCTGTGAAAACAAAAGTGATGAGAAGAACAACTAACTGGGAAGAGCAGCAGGTGCCTCAGACCCCACTCCCAGGAGTGAGGAAGCTGTGCCTCCTGCTGGGCATGGGATTAAAGGGAAGGGGACTAAGCTGTCTTTGCCTGCAATATTTTCAGGTCAAAGTCTGCACCTGCTTTCCAATTGGGAACCAGGTTAGAAATACAAACCTGAGCGACATTTCACTCTGTGGTGCTCGGGTCTGCAGAGGAAAGGATGTGGAACCTTGGCACACCATTCCGAAGCTTTTATTCTCTGGGGTTCCTGGACTGGGGGCTGATGTCAGGTTGAGGCCAATTATGCACCTTTGTAACCTAAAGCACCTGCCTTTGGCCTTCTAGAACCTCCTGTACCATTCAGAGTCAGACAGGAGCTAAGGAGAAGGTGAAAACCAAATCAGCAGTGTTCAGGTTTTCTGTTTAATACTTTTGGACCCTTTCACCCCATTCTTTTTTTTTTTTTTACAGAGAGGAAGGGAGAGAGAGAGAGAGCTAGAAACATCGATGACAGAGAAACATCGACCAGCTGCCTCTTGCACACCCCCAACCGGGGATGTGCCCGCAACCAATGTACATGCCTTTGACCAGAATTGAATCTGGGACCTTTCAGTCCACAGACCAAAGCTCTATCCACTGAGCCAAACCGGTTTCAGCTCACCCCATTCTTAAACTTAATGGAAAAGGACTTTGAAAACTTTGCCTTTACCCCAGCTCCTCCCTAGCCCCCAAGGGCATTTCCTGGTTCTTCCCAGGGCCAAATGGGCCAAGCTTGGTACAGGAAGAGCCTCACTGAACTTTGGAGGAAATTCCAAAAGTGGTCTCCTCTCTGAGAAACCCCAAATTTGGAAACAGCCTAAATCTTTGGGGTCTAACTGGGTCTTGTCTTCTTTAGATGCTCAAGACACTGACACCAGTGGTTGTTGAAAAAACAGCCACTGTGGTTTTCTGGGCAGCAGAAGCTGGCCAGTTCTGGGGTAAAGACCTGGTGGGCCAACCAGGCCTTGCCTTTTGTTATGGAGAGCAGTCAGCTGGGGTGAGTGGCTAGCACCACTAAGGAGAGGAGTTTCCAGTCTTGAAAACAAAAGAAACCAGGTAGCTACCAAATTCCTCCCGGGTTTTTTATTCATGATGCCTGGGCATCACCAAAACCCTAGGAGGCCAGGAGAGCAGCCCTTTATCTTTTAAACAAGGGAACATTACAATAACAATAACTCACTTCTTGGGTGCCAGGCACTGTCCAGAAGTATGTCTATAAATTAGTTATATTAACCTCCCAACAGTGTATTAGTAGATACTATTTTTATTCATTTCAGCAATTAGAGCACTGAGGCCTATCACAAGGGTATAAGCAGGCCTTAGTAAAAAAATCTGAGGAAAGTGGTCAAACTAGGATTCAAAATCAGGCCAACCAATGTCAGAGCCCACCTGCCCTTACCTTCTGTGCTGTATCTTCATTTTGGAGATGAAAAGAGAGGCACAGAGAGGTTAAATGAGGTGCCCAAGGCCACACAGCTTGCTGGCTGCAGATTTGGGCCTAGTTTCAGGGCTCCTGCCTGCTGTCCCCCATAGTGAGCTTCCCTTCGGGCATTTCCTCTGTGTGCTCCCTAGGCTTTTGTGTCTGGGGGTCCTTTTCCAGGACACAGGAAGGTAAGTAGTGGGGAGAAAAGTCACTTCTTTGACCAGCCAGAAGCCAGGTCAGGGGCCCAGATCTCAGGCTCTGAAGATGCTGAGGGAAGCTAGAGGTTGGGGACACTGACTTCCATTGAAAATTTACCCATTGGCTTAGGAAATCCCTTTCGGTTATCAGACTTTGTGCTAGGCATTGAGATGATCCTTAGCAAGCCAATGGGGGCCTAGGATGGTTTAATTTGGAAAAGCTTATACCATCACTCCTCTTTCCTGTGTCTGGTGTAAGGATACAGGTCCTGGACCAGTGTTATTCAAAGCTGGGCTGACTGAGTGACAGAGTACCAGAGGGTAAGTGGAGTGCTCTTAAAGGCCCAGGGCCTTGGTGCAGACTAAGGTCCTGTCAATTCCCTCCCACCTTTCCAGCCCTGGGTAGCCTAGACACAGTGAGGCCACATAGCATTCCTGCTGTCAGCTTCTGGCCCCAGCCACAGGGGGCAGAGAATGGTGTCTGAACTGCAGTTCCAAGGAGGCCTGAGGCATCCTCCTCCCCACTTTACCTTCTTGAAATGCATTATAAAACCACACTGTAGGGATCCCTCTGCTCCATGTTGAGATCTTAAAGCTGAGCATTAACAAGCATGAGGACCTCTCTTTTCTTTCATCTTCAAGATGATGCCAAGTAACTCTATTCTGTAACTGCTCACCTCCAATGCTCCACACCTGGTGATGCACAAACACCCCAGGTCTCAGTCTCCACCCCTATAAAATGAATCATAATGTTAACAGAGAAATGCGTGAATGGCCTTTCTCTGCTGCTAGTGCGAGGGGGATTCTTGGGATACCACTGGAAGAAGCATTTTGAGAGGCCCACATGGGAGGATGAGATGTGGTAGAAAGCTTAATTTGAGTGGAATTCCATTCTTGGGTTTC